ATGTCATGGGACCAACCATGTCCCCAGAGAAACTGGGGGGAAACTGGGTTTTATGCTGAAAACCCAGGTGCCTCAGGACACAACCTCATTTAGGGACCAAGCCCTCAAGGAGGTCATACGTGTGGCCCTCATCCAGCGTGACTGGTGTCCGTGTAAGAAGCGGAGGTGAGGACACAGACAGACACAGAAGCTCGGCCACGAGGAGGTGGCCATCTCCCAGCCCAGGACAGAGGTCTCGGGGGAACCAGCCCTGCCCACGCCGGGACCTCAGACTTCCCACCTCCGGGACAGGACAGAATGCATTTCCTCTGTTGCTTCTATGGATTTGTTTTTTTAAGATTTTGTTTATTTATGCATGAGAGACACAGCAGAGAAGCAGGCAGAGGGAGAAGCAGGCTCCCTCCAGAGAGCCCGATGCAGGACTCGATCCCACGACCTCAGCGTCACACCCTGAGCCCAAGGCAGACACTTCCCCATCAGAACCCCTGGGCCCCTGTCCCGGGCTAATGTACTGGAGCAGCTCCCCGTAGTTGGACACTCACACCTCCAGTTCTCCTCATTACAAATACGCTGTATTGCATGTCCTTGCTCATCTGTGGGATGAAGGATTGCAGTGTGAGAGGCTGTGGCGGGGGCAGGGCTGTGAGCTGGAGGGTTTCTCTGTTACCTCAACTCCAGACAGCCTCCTGTCAGGTGCGGGGGAACATGCTTCTCAAGAACTGTTGGCTCCTTTTCAGGCCTCCCTTCTCCTCTGGAGTGGCAGTGCTCCACCCTAGGCTCCTGGGCTCCCTCCTGCTCTGTCCTCTCCTCACCCTCCCCCTGGTCCCCTGTGGGGGAATCCCGTGCCCCACTGCCCCAAACCCCGCATGCCACCCCTGTGTTGTGCTTGTGCAGCATCATCCAGTGCTCTGCCATGAGGAAGAGGCATGAGAAGAAGGGGAATTTTAAAATTTGTGTTTGTTCTCATCCTTGTATAAAAATTATTAAATTGAGAAATAGACAATATGGTTATGTAATTATAAAAAGACCCCAGAGAGCTCTCACTCTCACCTGGCTCCATTCATAAGACAGGCATTGGATACTTTTTAAACAGTTTGAGCAGTTTTTAAGTTTTTCAAACTTGCATAAAAGATGCAGGAATTCACATATCAAGCACAAGTGTTTCATTGTTTGTGTGTCGCCCACATGCAGAGGTGGGCGTGTTTCCCCAGAACCATATTTAAGAGTTTGCAGAGCTCCCAACCAAGATATCTGGTACCGGGGTGTCTGCCCCCAGAGGTGTTGCCGCTCCTCCTGTCAGGCAGGTGTTTCTGAGCAGCAGGCAAACGGCCAACCGGCTGGTGCCCTCGAGCAGGGTCTTGGTTGTTTCCGGCCCTGTGCTGACTGGCCTGGTCACCTGTGCAGGTATGCCTGGCATGGCTTTGGCGGGTGGGCGCTGGCTCCAAGGGCAAAGGCCCCTCCATCCCCCATCCTGTGGCGGGGTCTGTCCTGATCCGGTGGGTGCTCCACCGGGCGTCGGCTGTGGCAGCCTCAGCACATCTGCGTGAGCTACCGGCTCCTGACCTTGGCCCATTTCCGGATCATTCCATGGCCCCCTAGCCCGCCAGACTCAATGATGGAGATGACTCACCCGACGGGGGCCAACGTCTGAATCGTAAAAACACAAAACTGGGCCGTTTTGCAACAAAACCAACTTTGGGCTGAGTGGAGGCAGCTCCATACATGTAAACATCAGACCAACTGTTTTGCGTCTGGTGACCGCCGTCCTCCGCCCTCGTGCCACCTCACTGGGTGACAAGGAGCCAGGGAGCTTGGAGGACATGAATGCTAGAAGAAATGAGATTCTGTGCGCAGCTCTGGGGCCTGTGGTCCCTGCACGACGGCTCCAGCCTCGGGGGCATGAGACGTGGAACTGAGAAGCCATTGACCCTGTAATAACCCTGGCCAAGCAGACACGTCGTGGAGACAGTACAGCCGGAGCCGGTTCCTCCACATCCCCACACCTGCCAGCCCCCCACTCACTGCACCCCTTGCCCAATCAGAGCACCATGGGGCTCGGTAAACACCGAATGTTAATGTCATTTGTGCCCAGGATTCTGTTAAAGAGAGGAGAGAGAATTTCGTTATCTGGATACATCTTTTTGATACATTTTTTTTATAAAGAAATAAACACTTTAATTCTCAGCATGGAGGGGACACGTGGCTCCCGTCATCCTGGGCTGGGTCCTGTGGCCTCAGCCACTGCCACATGGTCACCGCACTCCCCAGAAAGAAGAAAGTGGAAGCAGCAACACTGCCTCTCGCTCTTGCATTCAAAGAAATGCAGATGAAAAACAACCAGGGGGGCACCTGGGTGGCTCAGTGGTTGAGCTTCTGCCTTGGGCTCAGGTCATGATCCCAGGGTCTTGAGATCCAGTCCCCCATCGGGTTCCCTGCTCAGCAGGACGTCTGCCCCTCCCTCTGTTCATGCTCTCTCTTTCTGTCTCTCAAATAAATAACATCTCAAAAACAAAAATCCCAAGAGGCCATGATATGCTGCTTGATATTTTATACTATAAAAACACCCGTTTTTTTTTTTTAAAGATTTTATTTAAATATTCATGAGAGACACAGAGAAGCAGAGACACAGGCAGAGGGAGAAGCAGGCTCCATGCGGGGAGCCCAAAGTGGGACCCAATCCCAGGACCCGGGGACCATGACCTGAGCCGAAGGCAGATGCTCAACCGCTGAGCCCCCCAGGCATCCCCCCAACACCTGTTTTTGGAAGAGTGTGTTCAAACCATCATTGCGGGTTATAACATACATTGTCTTGATGTGTTTCCAAGGCACCTGTCCACACCTGCCTTCACCTCTTGCCTCTGTCTGAGGCCCTAGGGTCCGTGGGCACCCTGTGAGCTGGGCTCAAGAAAGCACAGCAGCATTCGCTAAAAGGACACCAGACATGGCGACACTGTTTGAGGTTGGAGCCTCTCACAGCCCCGGTCATGAGTACACGACAGACATTTCCAGAACCTGGACATGCGGCTAAGGCGTCCAGGATGTGCCTCACTTGGCTTGAGCTGATGGTGTGAAAGCAAGTTAGAGCCCTGTCCTGGGAGCTGCTGAGGGAGGCGTGGGCAGCCTGCAGGGAGGGCGGCTGTGGGACGATGGGAGGGGGCCTGCGGCCTTCCCCCAGGAGCCTTGGCCCTGGGAAGTCCTCAGAGTCACGAGACTGAGCAGCCCACATGGGGTCTCCCCCACTTCTCCCTTCGGGGCTGAAGACCCAGTTTGGTCTGTTGGATCATTAATTAAATAACTAGAGAGGAAAACGGTGCCTTAACTCCCTTCAGACATCTCTCTAGCATAGCTGGCACCCCTGATCTCAGGTCACCCCTTGCCCCTGTTCCCCATGAGCACATTTTGTCAACTATTACTGCATAACAAATAACGGAAACTTGGTGGCTTAAAATGACCATAAACATACCGATTCTGTTGGTTTGGGTGGTTCAGGAATTTGGGTGCAGCTTGGCTCTGGCTCGGGGTCTCACTTGGAGGCTCAACAGGGTGGGCACCCACTTCCAGAAGATTCCCTCCCTCACTGGTGCTGGCTGTTGGCTGGGGGTGTCCATGCCTGCCCACATGGGGGTCTCCATGGTGCCCCCGGAGCAGGTGGCCCGGGAGGGACCTTGGAGGTCACCTCCATGTTTCTGGTTACCCAGGGGCCATGTTGGTGGGTCAGCCCCATGCCCAGGGCACACCTGGCTGTGACTGGCCCTGCGTTATCTAGGGAGCTGGCTGCCGCGGGGGTTCCTTGGGAGACGGTGCCACCTCCCAGGCCGCACGCCACTTGGCATTTTGTCCATCGCCTTTTGGGTGTTACACCTGGGCAACTGCCCTCATGCAGTCCCACATCCTTGGGCCATTTGCGTGCAGCAGGCTCTGGGCCTGGGTCCTCAGGCCCCATGGGGGTCTCACTGCAGGTCTCCTGCCTCAGGGACATCAGTGGGCAAGGGTGGTGCTGTGGGAAGGCGCCCAAGGACCCTGGTCCTCCTAAAAGCTCTGTGCACTCCGAATCCTCCCCATCCCATGGCTGGGGGCCTGGGGCACAGAGCTCTCAGCGCACAAGCCGGGATGTGAGCCTCGGCACCTCTGAGTCCTCTGCAGCCTGCATGCTCGCCCAGGTCATCACATCCTCGTCCTGTGGCTGGTCCTCAGACCCTCAAAACCTGGGCCACCGGGAGGGCGAGCATGCTCCTGCAGCCTGACGGCCCCAGGGAGCGGGTTCACGGTGCGGACACCACGTGGAAGTGCGTGGACCAGCGCCCCCAAGGTGCACTCTTGGGACGTGTAAGGCAGGCCCACAGGAGCTGCAGGGATGCCCTGGCTCACGGACCCGGGTGATATCCTCACATTCATGAGTTCCTGTGCATGAGGCACTGCCTTGGGGGGCTCCCTAGTGACCCTGCCAGCAACAAGGACACTAGGACTCAGAGAAATCACTTTGTTTCTAAGCAGCATGCAAGGCAGGAAGAAGCCACCAGTGGGACCGGGCCTGGGCTCAGAAGATTGCTCATCTGTGCACTTACTTTCTCAGGAGGTCACGAGCTGCCCTGTGACCAGGGTTGGCCCTGTCCCTGCTCCTCTGATGGCCCACAGGCCTCCTTGCAGTGAGTGGCCCCTGGGGCTCAGGCCCACGGGACCTCTGGAGGTTCCCGGGGTCGTGGGGTTGCAGGTCTGTGTGGAGGAGCCCAAAAGGCGAGGGGAGGCAGGAAGGCCGTGGCCTCCATCGCCTACACCCCTGACGGCTCACTGCCTGGGTCCAACAGCACAGGCTGTGATGCTGAGGACCAGCGGGGCCCAGACGGCTTTCCGGCTGCTCTGGGCTGTGTTTTCGCAAAGGAGGCAGCTTGGGGAACCAGTGAGCTGGGGCGTGTGACGCTGCGGAAATGCGAAGGCACAGTCCTTGGTGGCCCGTCTTGCAAAACCAGCAAAAGGAAGTTGTGTTTTGCTGCTGCCTGAAGTCCGCACGGAGCAGAAGCACGCCCTCAGAGGGCAGGTGAGTGGAGCTGGCCCCGGGGTCTCTGCCGGCCCTGCCAGGGTCCCCGCTCGCGTGGGGGGCATTCAGAGCAGGTGCGGCTTGCGGGTGGCTGCTCCATGGTGGGAAGCATGTGCTGCTGCATGGCGGTGGGTCTGTCCTTTGCCTCTCAGGTGCCCCTGCCGGCACCTGGTGGGCCACATCCAGCGGCAGGCATGCCATCTGCCGGGACAGCGCTGGATGTTGTCTAGGGCACCTGAGACTCCTGCTAAAGTGAATTGAGGTTGGGAGGGGCCCAGCCCACGCACCTGCCACCGAATCCCTGGGTGTTGTCCTGGGGAGGAAGGGTGACTGGTCTGCACAGTTCCTGGGGGGCCAGGCCTTCCCACAGAATGTGGCTCTGGAAGGTTCCCCTGAAATCTGCAGTTTGGACACTGGCGGGGCTGGGATGTGGTGGTGCTACTGGGGAGTGGGATCCCGGTGCCGCGACTCCGGGCAGGGGATGGGGGGACGCCACGGTGGCAGTGTGGGGAGCCGGATGCCGCTGTGCTTGTGCAGAGCAGGGCTGTGTTCTGGGCCCCGGAGCACCTGGCTCCCTCGACCCTCGGGGCCTGCAGTTGCCCGGCCAACTCCTGGGCCAGGCCTGAAGAAGACGAGACCCAGGAGCCCTGGGTCTTGACCTATGAACTGCCCCACTACACCCAATACCAACCTCCAGAGCCTGACAGCTTACTGGGGCCGGGCAGGGCGGTGCACAGGGAGGAAGTGGTTTGTTTCCAGCTGGGGGTTTGCAGGAGGCCAGAGGCCCTGGTTCCGCTCCTCCGGCTTATTGTCTGTCTCCCCACAACGACTAGGGGCCCCTGAAGCTGCATGGGACCATGTGCTCTGACTCTCAGTTGGTCTCAGTGGCCACATTTCAGATGGGGGTGCTGACAGAGGCCTTGAGGACACCTGGGCCCTTGCTGCCTTGAGCCCCTCAAGAGCCCAGGGGTGGAGATGTCCCTGGACTCAGAACAGTGACTGTAATGCACCAACTGGGAGTGCCCCCCCATCCTCCACACCTGTCCCAGGTGGGCTCTCATGACCCCCAATGACCCATGAGGAGAGTTAGGCACCTGAGAAATGGGGGTGAGTGTAGAGGTCAGACCCTAGGACACATGTGAAGCCCAGTCCTAAGTGGGGCATCACTCACCTACATGGTCCCCCAGCTGCCCATGGCTGGGAGACCCCCTGCCACCAACCCCAGTGTTCTACCGCCTTCATCCCTGGGCACACAGCCCCTTCCCACATGGCCTGGCTGATTCTCATTGGCCCTGATCCTTGTCTGTTCTCTCTGCCTGGGACACTGTTCCCTCCACCTGGGACACATCCATCTGTCTGGGGTCCCATGTATGGTGGTAATGATTGGTCATCTCAGAGGTGGGCCCTGGGGGCTCTCATGGGCCCCCATGAAGCCCAGCTTGCCCAGGACGCAGAACACTAGCCCCCTGCCAGTGTGGCTTTGGGAGGGTGAACCTGCTGCCTGGTGTCCCTGTCCCGCAATAACCTGGAAGGTCACTGCAGTCAGGTGAGGCTGCATAGAGTGAGAGTGACCCCGGGCAGGGTCCGTGTGTGTATGTGGGTCCTCCCCCAGGGGCAGTGAGAGCGGACCCCCCTCCCCTGCACGGCTGCGGCGCTGACCCTGGGGGTGGGGGCCAGGCTACACACCCGGAACCCTGGGCAGCGCTGCCTGTGCTCGCAGCATGTCCGCTGGGAGCTGTTGTTGGGCTCTCGTCCACTCGCTTCTCTAGATATTATAGTGGACGGTAAGCACAGGGGGAGTCCCTGGGGAGCCAGCAGTCAGCCTCGAACCCTGGCCCCCGAGCACCCCTCCCCCATGCACTTGGGCCGAACACCAGGTCCCCTGTCTTGGTGGGCCACTGTGCTGGTGACTGTGGTGCCTGTAGGTATATTTCTGCCCCAGAGCGAGGTACAATGACGCTCAGGAGTGTGCGAGTTTACAGTGAGAAAACAGATGGGGGGGGGGGAGCGGGGAGCACACCTCTGTGGGAGACGGTAAAGGGGAAGCAGTGCATGTACTCGGTTTTGCAGGCCCCCCAGGCCTGTGCGCATGTGGCCTCGGTGCCATGCAGCCTTTGTACTCTGCGGCCTTCATACCCTGCACCCTGTGTGCTGTGCACTTGTGCGCCGGGCGGCCGGTGCGCCTGAGCCGGCTCCGCCGTCATGACTCCTTGTGCTGGAGCGGGTACGTTTCTGGGCTGGTGGTCCCGCTGTGCCCTGGCGTGGCTCCCTGAGGCCTTCACAATGGAGCTGGTGACAGGGGCCTGGGAGCTCGAGGCCCGCCCGTGGCCAATGCCCATCAGCCTGGCCGTGTCTGTGTGCTGGGCTGTGGGACACGCAGGACGTGGCCAGTGGGTCTGCAGGCTGTGCTCCACCTCGGGCTTCAGGAAGGTGTGTCCATTTTACAGAGGAGGAAACTGAGGGTCTGCCAATGCAACTGGCCCGTGGTGGTCCAGCTGGTAAGTGCTGGCCGCTCAGCCCAGCGGCACAACCACCTCCCCAGATCCGCATGGGAGGACCCACCGCGGTGTCGTTCACTGCCTGGGTGTGGGGGGGGTTGGGGGTTGGAGGTGATGGGGGGGTCAGGGCGCACGGGAGGGACACAAAGCGGGGCACATGGGTGTGGGCTGCGATCTGTCCTCTTGGGGTCTGTGTCAGGAACCCCCCCCAGGTCTGTGTCAGAACCCCCCCTCCTCCAGGTCTGCATCAGGACCACCCAGGTCTGTGTCAGGGCCAGATTTCTGGAGGGGCAGGCAGCAGGGTGGGGGGCATGTGTAGAGCAGCAGGTCTAGAGGTTTCCAGGCAGCGCTGGCTGTCGGCCAAGCCTCAGCCACAGAGCGTGTTTCTGGCAGGGTCCAGGCGCTTCTGGGGGTGTGTGGGGAAAGGTAGGGTCCCCACGGAGGTGAGTTCTGGGCATTTTTGAGTCACTGTTGTCTTGGGTGTCATTCACACAACTTCTGACGAGAATTTTGTAAGACCCATTTTTTTTAAGCTGCTTTTTTTTGTGGTAAAGCACACAGGACATAAAATTTGTCGTCTAAGCCACTTAGAAGCATCCAGTTTGTTGGCATGAAGTGTGTTTGCGTGATGGTGCAGCCATCCTCACCATCCATGTCCAGAATGTTCCATCTTCATAACTAAGGCCGCATCCTCATGAAGCACTAACTCCCCGACCCCCCATCCACTTCCTGTCTCTGTGATTGGACGACTCAGGCACCCCTCGTGGCATGTGTGTCTGCAACAGGCACGCAGCATCACGTCCTCAAGGCTGACCATGCTGTGACTGCTGTCAGGGTGTCCATCCTCCTGAGGGCTGTGTCCATGTGCCCGCCATGGCCATGGGCCGTGCCTGCTGCCTGCTGCCGTGAATAGTGGTGCTGGGACCACGGGGGCGCAGGTACCTGTTCAGCTCTCTGCTTTCAGTTCTCCTGGGAAGAAGGTGTTCTTGAGGACCAAGTGTCAGAATTCAGTCATGGAATGAAAGCAGCGTCTCTAAGGAAAGCTGTGGCTCACCTAGGAGCCCCCGGGACAACTCAGCCTGCAGGCTGCTGCTGCATAGGCATCCCATGCCACGGTGATGGTCACTTTCTTTCCTTTTTGTTTTTCCGTAATTTCTAAGCTTTCTGAAAGGGACATGTCACTCATGCAGCTTTTGAGAGCACGTAACTTCGGGTGCTGGTATGAGCCGATGCGGGGTGGCACCTCCTTTCCTGTGCTCAGCTAGCCCTGCGCCCCACCCCGCCATCTCCGTGTGCTCCCATGAACTCGGCAGACAGGACAGAGACCCCGGGCTGAGGCCTCAGGGTGAGAGCTGTGCTTCTGGAGCCTGACCCTGGGGCCAAGTAGCCCTGGGATTCAGGCCTTTCTCACTGTGCTGCAGCTTCCAGGTTGCTGCAGCCTAGGCTCCCAGCTGGGACGCTCCCTGATGTCACCCTGTGTATCTTTAGGCTTGTTCAGATGGCTGGCTGTGCGTAACCCGCCACCGCACAGACCAGCAAGCCTGCCGAGTGTCATCGTCTAGCACAATACAGGGGCTGGCAGGTTTCTCCGGGGCTGTTGCCGGTCAGAGGGTCATGGTGTCCAAGGTGTCTTTGCTCAGGCTCATGCCTCTGGTGGCCTCAGTCTGCAGGGACCACACACAGGGTGCTGGGTGCCAGGCGGCAAGAGACGGGGATGGTGGTGGTTCCAGCAGGGGTTTCTGTGTTGTTCCTGAGGAGGGCACAGCTGGCAATAGGTGGAGTTGGGCACTGGCCACCCTCGGGGTCCATCTGCAGGACCATCCCTTTCTGTCTTTGGCAGCCACTGGGCGGGGCTGGGCTCCAGGTCGGGGACCGAGCATTCCTGCTGTCCCATCTGGGGGCTGCTGCACATGGAGCCCCTTAGATGGTCCATGGCACCCTGTGTTGGGGTGCATTTGATTTCTCCATCTTTCTGAGCCTCTCACAGCCTCAGTGTTGGGGCTGCTGATGCTGGGTGGCAGCAGCCTTGGTGTCAGGGGCCCAGGTTGTACCACGGTTGCCGCTCACCAGGGGGTGGCAGGAGCCAGCCTCACTCATCTGGGGCAACTCAGCGCTTGTAAGGCAGGAGCCAGGGCCAGTAGAGGTGACTGAGGGCAGCTCTGTGGCTCCATGGTCACACACACCCTCAACCCCAGGATCTGGACGTGTCAGAATGAGCCTGCAGTGTCTGGCGGGTCTGGCTCACAGGTGCTGGCATTCTGCAGGCCCACGTGGTCCAGGGCAGCCTTGGCTCCCTTCTCTGAAACACATCACCCACCTTGGTACCTGTGAGCAAGCATACAGTGTGTTGAGCACAGCTCCTGGCATGTGGGGTGTATGTGTGCACATGCGTGCGTCCCTGTGTTATAGAAGCACATGTGTGGGTGCGTGTGCATATGTGCGTTTCCTCCCAGAAGCCCCCTGCTCCTCTGAGCCATGTGGAGGGTGAGCAGGAATGGGGCTGGCCTTCCCTGCTGCTGACCTTGGCTTTGAAGGGCAGTGGGAAGACAAGGCCACGGGCTGCATCCTGTGGCTTCCTGAATCAGACCAGGGCAGTGGTCTCTGCTGCTGCCCCCACACTCCGCTCCCCGGGGACGTCTTCATGTGCAGCCTTGGGCTTTCCCTTCTGGCTGAGTAGGTTCTGCTGTCCTGGGAAGGACAGTGGTCATGGTGCACAGTCTCCAGGGGCAGGCTGCACCCGCTCGGGATGGGAATGCCCAGGGGGCATCCGCGCTGCTAGACCTCCCCAGGCTGTGTGCCTGCCACCTGGGCTCTGCCTGGACCTGTCCCTTTTGTAAATGTGGCACCTGGGGAACATCCCCCTGCCAGGTTGGCCCAGAGCAGCTTGACCACATGAGATGCGAGTGGTGTGGCAGGTGTCATGGGCGGAGCAGGGGCCCAGAGTGTCCTGCCCACGACACCTTTAAGGTTTTGTGTGGGAGCGTGAGGGGCTGTGTCCCCATCAATGCTGCTTTAGCCTGTTTCTCGAGGGAGGAGGGGTGTGTGTGGAGAGGCTGCTGGCTGCGGGGCGATTGTGGATGTGAGCCCTGGGCACCCATGTTGGGAGGTGTCAGGTGGGTGCTTGGCGTGGCTGGGTGGTGACCGCTGGCTCTCTGCACCCTGGTGAGACCTGGCCTCCCAGTGTGGGTGCCTCAGGTGGGGCGGTCAGTGGTGGCCCGGAGGTTCGGGCATGGCTGCTGCCCTGCTGCCCTGTCTGCCCTCACGGTCGCCTGTGCGGGACTGGCCGTGCTGGGCGGGGCCGCAGAGCTGCCTTCCACCCCCGCCTTGAGAGCTGGCCTGGCGCCTGGCACTGCGGTGGAGGCAGCTTTCGAGCTCCTGCCGTGTTGTTTCAGGACCCCTGTTGCACACCTGCTGGGCAGGAAGGAGATTTTCAGCCAACCTCCCAGCCCGGCTGACGCTCACGGCCCAAGGCGGCCAACCCACACTCCGGACAGAGCCAGTGGGGAGCCAGGCAGAGCCCTCCCTGGAGATCTGGGCATCAGGTGGGCCAAAGGGAGATTCCGGGGAATGTCCATCTCTCCTGGCCGGGTGCCCCCTCCCCCCATCCTGACTCCTGACTAGACTCCTCTCCCCTCTCCTCACCTCTCCTCCACTCTCCTCTCCTTGGGCAGAGCCGGGGGAGGGGGAGAGGGCAGTGGAAGCAGCAAGGGGCTCCAGGGCTTTTTGGAGGGGGGTAGTAATCTGGGGCACAGCCCTGGCCTCCCTGCTCCAGGTCTGTGGACGGTGGCAGGTCACAGTGATGGTGCGGAGCCCCCAGTGACCTGACCCACTGTGCTCACAGCAGTTGTTGTGTATATAGTTTAAATGTGTTGAGCAGCAGGTGGCTTCACATTATGGGATTCCTTCCCTTGCTCGTTCCTTTCTTTTTGTCTCTTGACTTTTTTTCCTTTTTTTGTTTTTAATTTAACATGGAAGAAATTTATTTTTCAAATAAGATGCTTTTCATTTGTCCTTCCCCAAGAGCCTGTCTGGGCAGGACTCCCTGGAGCCCTGTGGGCTGTTCCCTCCATGCACAGCCCCTCCCACCTCCACCCTTCCCTGGGGGGCATGTTTTGGGGGACTGGTCCCAGCCTGGCCCTGACTCTGCTCATTCCTCCCCACAGGAAGCCTGCCCCCCGCCCTGCCAGCTCCCCACGGGGCCCTAGGAGCTCAGCTCTGAGGATGGAGTCAGAAGGGACATCCTCAACAACCCATGCTCCCGGTGCTGTCCTGGGGGAGCCAGATGCTGGGCCTGGCTGCGCATCCCTGGAGCTCTCGAGGGCCGACCCAGGGAAGCTCCAAGGACTGCCACTCGGGCCGAGAGCCCATGGCAAGGACCCTGACCTTGGGAGCCCTGGCACCCCAACCACCTCAGGGGATGGCCCCCTGGACCTAGGGCCCTTGGGGGGGCCCAACGGTGGTGCTAAGCTCCCTAACCGGGACAGCGGGATTGACAGCCCGTCGTGCAGTGTGGTCAGTGAGCAGTTCCCCTGTGAGGAGGGTGTCGAGGCCAGCCGGGGCCCCGCAGTCCTGGGCCACCTGGAGGCATCCCCAGAAGGCGAGGCCGTGCAGGAGGCGGCCAATAGCGATGTGGGCGAAGGTAACAGTGAGGAGCCTGACCCCAAGAGCAGCCCCCTGAGGGCCCCTGTGGACCCAGTCAAGGTAGGCCGCCCTCCTGTCCTGGGGTGGCCTGGGCTCCTCTCAGGGGTTGTGATGTCGTGGTTGCATCAGCTGCACCTGGTTTCAGTAACAGGTACACATCAGCACACTGGAGAGGCCTGGCAGCTGGGTGGCGGAGAGGGCAGGGCCTTGGCCCCTCAGGCAACGACCTCACTCCCAAGCCTGGGTGACTGTACCCACGGCGCCCCAGCCCTGGCGGCTGTGGGGGTAGAGGTCAGTGCTCACAGAGCCACCACCACGTGCTCCACGGTGCTGGCCACCCACCTCACAGAGCCCCTGTGAGGAAGGCAGCATGAGTGTCACCTGTGTCAGGGACACGGATCCACAGGGTCGCTAGGGGGCGTGACGGGCAGGAAGGGAGCCTGGGCAGGGGTGAGCCCTGAGCAGAAGGCCCAGGAAGTAGGTGTACCCACAGCATGGCAGGTCTGTTGTGGGAGAGCCCGTGTGCATCCCAGCAGCATCTGGGCTCTGCCCTGGGACACGTGGGGATGGAAACGAGGCAGAGGGCTGCGGCCCAGACACCCCCTGTGCACAGGGAGCATGGGTAAGTGACCAGCTCCCATGAGGGGCACAGGAGACACCAGACCTGCTGGCCCTGGTGAGATGGTCCTTGCTAAAGTGCATGGGGCAGAAGACAGGCCTGGAGGGCACACTGTTGGGGGGCAGGCGGGAGCCATGTCCTAAAGCCGTGGCTTTGTTATATCCGGGTGCAGTAACACCAACAGATGAGATGAAGGCCAGCGAAGGGGTAGTTTCTGACTTACAGCCCGCAGGAAGAGAGGTGGGCCTGGACCCAGGGCCACACGGGGAGGACCAGTGGGTCAGGGGGTAGAGGGGGTGGGAATTGTTAGCGAGAGTCTGTCTCATGGTTTCTGGGGGAAGGAGCAGGCAAAGCAGGGTGATCAGGTTTAGGATCGGCTTGAATGACTTGAGCTGCAGGGAGCCATCCCAGGTGTGATGCCTGGGGCTGGGTGACCAAGGCAGGGGACCTGGGCGAGCCCATGGAGGTGCCCGCCATGCTCTTTGGGGCTGGTAGCATAAGAGGCACAGTACGTGGTCCTTTACATCTCTAGGACTCAGCCGACCCTGGGGGCACCCTCCCTCCAGCGTCAGCGAAGTCCTAAGATGTGCAGACATCCTGCAACACGGAAGCCAGTTGATGTGGCTTCTACAGGCCACACCACTTGTGACGCTCAAGGTGTGGCCCTGGGGGTTCCGCGGGCCACCCTGATCTCCAGGTGGTGGGGGCCGGTGCACACCCAGGCCCACCTCCCATCCTGCCCACATGGGCTCTGCGGAAGGCCCGGTCTCCACGTCTGAGACACGGAGATGCCTGCACTGTGGGTTCGTCTGTCTTCCCCATCACATGCTGGCCCGTCCTCGTCCTCGGGGATCCTGTGCCTGCTGTCCCCCACCCAGCGGTGTGAGATCGTGCTCCTGTGGGAAGTCAGCCCTCGTCATGTGAGGAGGTCCCGGCCACTGCTGTTTCTGTTGCAGAAGGACACTGAGTCTTGTCAGATGCTGCTTCGGCATAGATTCAGGTTGTCATGAGGGTTTCTCACTGTGTGTCGAGTCCTGGAATAAACCTCCCTGGGGCGTGGGGTCCCATCGTGTCAGGACATCCACGTCAGTGAGTGTCAGGGTCGCCTGTCCCCAGTTTCTCTGTGAGCCATCTGCCCACTGGCCTCACCGAGCTCAGACATGTCTCTCCTCTTTGATGTTTTGGAACATTAGAGAAAGATTGGTATTTTCCCGTGAAGCCACGTAGTCCTGGGCTTTTCTGTGTTGGAAAGTTTTTTATTGCTTATTCAATCCACTTATTGTTGCTCCTTCAGATTTCCTGTTTCTTCACATCTTCATCTTGGTGCCTTTCTAGGAATTTATCCATTTGGACTGTCTGATTTGTTGGAGTGTACTTGTTCACGTTGGTCTCTCGTGACCCTTTTTATTTCTGTGGTGTCGCTTGTAATGTTTCGTTTTTTATTTCTAACACTACTTATTTGAGGCTTTTCTATTTCTTAGTTAATTTAGCTAAGGGTTTGTGAATTCTGTTGGTCTTTTCGAGAAATGACCCTTAGTTTTGATTATTTTTTCATTGTTTTTCTGTTCTCTGTTTCATTTATCTGTGATCTGATCTCTGTTGTTTCCTTCCTTCTGCCTGCTTTAGGTCTGGTGTGTTCTCTTGAAGTGTAAAGTTAGGGTGTTGGTTTGAGATCTCTCTTCCTTTTTCACACACACATTTACAGCTACAAACAAACAAATCCCTCCTCCTCCAGCCTTTGCTGCATTCCACAAGTTGTGGTGTTTGTGTTTTCATTTTCACTTCAGGCTGTTTTCTGTTTTCCTTTGTGACTTCTTTGCCACTTATTTAAGACCGTGTTGTTTGATTTCTACCTCTGTGTGGCTTTCCTGGTTTTTCTTGGGCTGTTAATTTCTTTCTTTTTGGGGGGGGGGGCTGTTAATTTCTAATTTCATTCTCAGTGATTGGAAAAGATATTTTATATGATTTCGGTCTTAGGTTCATTGGTGTTTGTTTTGTAGCCTCATATGAAGAGGGTCGTGGAGAATATACCCTGTGTGCCTTCTGTGGTTGGGCAGAGGGTGCTGGTCTGTGTGGTGGATGGTGCCACTTACACCCTGTTTCCTTAGGATTCTGTCTGCAGGACCTGTCCAGGCTTGGAAGTACAGGACTGAGGTCTCCTGGGCCTCCCTTCAACTCTATCAAAATTCACTTCACATATTTAGGAACTGTGAGCTTTGGTGCATAGAATATTGGTTTAAACTTTTTAAAAAGCTTTTTATTAATTTAAGTCATCTCTACACTCAACATGGGGCTCAAACTCACAACCCTGAGATCAAGAGTCCTGCACTCTTCTGACAGAGCCAGCAGGCAGCCCTGGTGTGTTTGTATCTGTAACTGTTCTACCTTCTCAGAGAGCTGGTCCTTTTATCATTGTGTGATGCTCCTTGCATCTGGTAGTCCGTGCTGCCTGGTGCCTCTCTCCTGGTCTCCCTTCGCATGGTGGGTCTTCCCACCCTCCCACTTCCAGCCTGTGTGTCCCTAAGTCTAAAGTGAGTGTCTTGTGGACAGCACACCGTTGGCTGCTGTTCTTTCAATCCGTCCAGCCAGTCCTTACCTCTTGATGAGAGAGTTTGATCCATTTACATTTAAAGTAATGACTGTTGGGGAGACCATTGCCATTTTGATCATTGTTTTCTGCGTGTCTCGTGGGTTTTTTTTTTTTTTTTTGGCTGTTTCTTAGTTATCACTGTTTTTGTGAAGCTACATTTTGATTCCCTTCTCGTTGCCTGTTGTGTGTATCCTATAGATATTTTCCTAATGGTTACCATTGAAATTACTTAAAACACCTTAAAGGTGGAACATCCTACTCTATACCGTACCTGCATAATGTCTGCTCTCACTCGCAGCAGGCCTGTTTCCATGGCTTTCAAACTCGGGCTCAGGTCAGGCGCTCCCAGTTGGGCCACAGGCCACATAGAAGCTGATGGCCCCTTGGGCTGTCACTCGATGTGCTGGGGTGCAGGATGCATGGCTCACAGCCTCATGTCCATCCAGAATGGGACCTCCACGCGAGGACTTCAGCATGTGCCATGTGGTGCTGCCCGGGGTGGGGGGAACACAGAGACATACCCGTTGCTGTTGGTTTTCCCATTTTACAGTGACATGGATCAGTGGCTTCTCAGCTGTCTCTGGAGTTCTCACTGGGGTGCTCTGGTCCATATGTTGTTAGTGCCACGTCTCTAGGGGAGGGCCTGTAGCTTTCTGAGTGGCTGTCTTGCTGACAGGCCACAAACCACTTTTTTTTTTTTTTGATGTGGCTGCTGCAGCTGCTCTGTGGTCAAGGTCTCAGGAGGGCAGGGTTGTCTCTGGAATGCAGAGGCTTTGGGGGGATTAGTGGGAGCTGTGTGAACTGAGCCCCTGCTCCAGGGCGTGTGGCCTGCTCTGCCCTGCAGGCCCCCTGGTCGCCCTGGTACCAACCCCACCTCCCTGGGGACCTGTGGTTCCTGTCTCTACAGTGCCCCAAGTCCCAGAAGCTGCTCCACATTGCCCAGGAGCTCCTGCACACCGAGGAGACGTACGTGAAGCGGCTACACCTGCTGGACCAGGTAGCCCGTATGGGGGTTCTCACCTTTGTGCATGTGTAGCACTGCCTGGGCCTTAGAGCTGGAGGATGGATGACTTGTCATGCAGCCATGCGTCTCTTCCAGAACCACCCCCCTTTGCTGTCTGAGCCCGGGGCTGGGCAAAGTCTTGGGCTAGAGTCTCCCTGTCCCCTAGCAGTCTGGGGTTCATGAGCCGAGTTCTGCGAGGCGTTGCTTCTGTCTGTAGCTCACAGAATGGAAGAAAGGAAATCAGGACCCTCCGGTTCCTGTGAGCAGTGGGCGGAGGCAGCTGGGCTGTCCCAGTCAGGTCAGCGAGGACCGCGTGTATAGACATAAGTGCGCTCGCTGTAAAACCGTAGCTGTGAGCCAGTTTGATGAGGCAGAGGTTCGTTAAGAAAACGAACTCGCAGCCTCTGCTGAGCCCCTCACCCCAGCGACGGCAGCTGTGGCGGCTCCCCTCTTAGCGCCTCTCTGCGGGCCTCTGCATACCCAGGTTTTCTGCGCCCAGCTGGTGGAAGCAGGCATTCCATCGGAGGTCACCACAGGCATCTTCTCCAACATCTCCTCCATCTATCGCTTCCATGGGCACTTCCTCCTGCCCGAGCTGCAGACACGGATAACGCAGGAATGGTGAGTGTGGCTCCTGGTCCCCAGGAACAGGCCGAGGGTCCCGGTGACCTTGTCCCAGCAACCGTGTGGGACTCTCAGGGCCAGCGGCCTCGAAGTCTGGGCTTTGTGTGCCTGAGAGACAGGCGGGCGTGTGAGGCCGGTCTCGCCATGCCCCGGCCTTCCCTGTGCAGTCCTGGGCCAGCCCTGACCCGTATCTCCTGTCCCCGTGCTTTCGCTTCTTCCACCTGCACTTCAAAGTGACTTCAATACCCACTCAGGCTCTATGGGATCTGTGAACTCCAAACAGCAGGGAAACTGTGCTGGCAGGCTCCTCTTCTCTCCTCATGTATTCTCCTCTTTTGCTTTAAAAAATGACATGCTCCCCTTCTCAGGGCACCTTGGCTCCTTGGGCTGCCCCCAGGGGGCTATCCTTCTGTCCCTCTGCCGTGGTCATTTATTCTTAGCAGAGGGCCAACTTGACTGAGTCAGGATAGTAAGACCTCATGGACATGGCCCTTGCCCTGCTGTTCACCCCATGCACTTCTCCCGTAATTGCTGGTGCTGCGGCTTTGCTTCGGGGTCTCTGCTGGAACCTCTCATCTCCAGCCTGGCTTGAGCTGGGGTGTTGGGAGCATTGGGAACTCAGCCCATTGGGGTCTCCAGCTGCAGCCAGGCCAGTAGAGCACAGAGGCCAGGGGCTTGCGAGGCTCCGCAGGCATCCCTGTCAGGTTGTGGATCTTAGTGAGGAGCACACTCCACCCGCAGAGCCAGTTACCCAGTGTCCTAAAGGCCGTCGGAGTAAAGCCACAGCCAGACAGACCACTGTCCACACTTGCTGAAAATGAGTTTTGTCCTCAAGGCCTAAGAGAGGCTCCTGGTGCACAGACGCCCATGGGGCTGCTCCCGTCCCCCAGGGAAGGAGCCAGGGAGGGATGCCCACCCATCTTCCAGGGATATCCACCAGCGCAATGGCTTTGTGCACTTGCTTGCTTTTTGATGATTTCTCTAGGGTCACTTCCCCTTTGAACTGTGCTTAAGGTCAGAAACTATTGGTTTACCATTTTTATGCTTCTTGAAATTTATTTTCAAATTCCTTTCTGCACTGTTTTTGGTACAACACAGCTGCTTTCCCATGACATTGCCAGTGTCCACTTGTCCCATTCTTCCTGAAATTTGCTCATCTAAGGGCACATGGGGTCTCATGGACTCTCTCTGATGAGTGGCCTGTCATTTGAGCATTCCCCTCCCCACTGGCACCCCTGGTCTGGAGGAGCAGTCCTATGCCTGTGTGGTTGGAGGGCCACGTGATCTTCTGGTTTATCCCCATGTCACATGCAGTGTCCCACCCTGCACAGTAGAGGGGAGGAAAGGAAGGCTCAGAGAGGGTGACCAGTGTGCCCACCATCACACAGGGCTGGGACTTGTGCACTTGCCCCACAGACTCAGGGTGAAGTCCCTGTCCCACACAAAGCCCGGACTTCGAGGCCACTGGCCCAAGCCATTTCTCTGATGACCTCTCCTCCCCCGAAGGGACACAAACCCCCGGCTCGGGGACATCCTGCAGAAGCTGGCCCCATTCCTCAAGATGTATGGCGAGTATGTCAAGAACTTTGACCGGGCCGTGGAGCTGGTTAGCACCTGGACCCAGCGCTCACCACTGTTTAAGGACATTGTGCAGAGCATCCAGGTAGGGCAGCCCCACTGGCTGCACGGGATGCGCTTGGGTTGTATCCTAGAGGCTGAGGATAGGCTCTGCCTAGTCCCTCAGGGTCATTGCACAGGAGGGTATGTGGTCTGGGCCACACTGTTGTCGGGTGGTGTCTGGATTCCAACGCCCTGCCTCCCTCCTCCCTCCAGTGCCAGGGACCCCGGGAGGCCGAGCTGGCCTCATCCCCCTTCTTTCTCTCTTCCTGCAAACAGCCCCTTCTCTTACTCTTTCTTATCCGTTTGCCAGGTTCTTGTATGTTAGGAATGCCTTCTGTCACCTGTCCTGTACCTTATGAGTTATCTTCCTTATCAGTCTTTTATTTTTTTTATTTTATTTATGATATTGGCCAGAGTTTTTGGTTTTTAAGCAGAAACATTTGCCAGTTTTTTTGTAAAATAGTGCTTTAAAAAATCTTCAAAATAATGCTTATAAATGCATTTTTTAATGTTAAGGCTTCATGTTAAAAGATTAGAATTGGTGTTTCAGAACAGTCTCCAGGTGGGTTGTGGGATGAGGTAGGAATCCTGTTTACCCTGAGCATGGCATGTGAACATCACACAGTGCCTCTGTGCACACGTTCACGCATGTTCCTCCATGACTGTCTGTGTTTTCCCCAGATCCTGTGGCCATTGGGTCACTGTGACTTCCTAGTGTGGAGTCCTAGATGCCCCCTGCATTCCTCAGCACCCTATCCCTACCCAGAGAGGACAGTTCTGACGCTGATCCCTTCCTCCCTGCAGCACCCTCACCCCTAGTCTGGGCCTCTCTAGCCTTCCAGGCTGTGCCCGCAGCCGCCCCACCCCCCCAGCCCTGAGTGACCAACAGGAACTGGGAGCTCGTACTGCTCCGTGTGCGGGGTCTGCGGCCAGGTGGTGGGCCAGCACCATTGGCAGGAGCGTCGGGAGGTGGGAGGTGCAGGCAGGCGTAGGTGTGATGGTTGTGCACTCCACTAGGGCAAGTTGCACCATGGTTTCCTCTCCCAGGAAGCATGTGTTCCCCCCCATGGTCGCAGGAAGTTTCTTGCAGGAAGTTTCTTGCAGGGAGATACTTTGAAATTCTGTGGCCATCTGCTTCCTCATCACTCCTGATAGTTCTCCCCCAGGAAGGACTGTTTTTGTGATAGTTGCAGACTGTGCTGCTCTAGCCCTGGAGGGTCTAAGGCACTTGGAGCTCCTTTGAGCTGGAAGCCGCTCTGCTGTGGGCACTGAGGGGCCATGGCAGGTGGGAAGAAGCAGAGGAGAAGCAGGAGAAGGGTGCACCTCCTTGAGCAGGTGCAGGGGGGAAGAGGAACTCTGGAAGAGGCAGGCAGGCTCTCAGCCAAGGAGCATGTGCCAGGGCATCTGCAGGAGGAGCAGCAGCAAGGACAGGGCGCCCACGTGGGACAGTACAGAGGTGGCACGGTGGCAGTGCTGGGAGCAGCGTGGGGCAGGGACAGGATGTGAGGCCTGAGCGCCCACCCCTGCACTCAGGGTTGCATTGATATCAGAGCACCCAGCAGCTCTTGGAGCCTCTAGGCAGGACCGCGGGTCCCCCTGTCGGGAGAACACATTTCCAGGGAGGGAAGAGGCCCAGCCTCAAGCACCAGAATAAGGGAGCAAGCAAGGGAACATGGGGTGGGGGGTACCCTGAGGGAAGGGGGCATTGCAAGGACTTGTTTTTCTCCTGCGAGGATGAGCATAACAATCAGTGCTGGGGGTCTGGGTCCTTGGGTTCAGTCTCTCCCAGCCTCATTCAGCTCACTGTAAATGTGTTCTCCAGTCAGCAGAATGGCAGCCAGAAGTGGGCGGGGGCAGGGGAGGCCCACACGGTGTCTGCAGGTGCCACGTGCTGCCTGTCTGCCCCACAGAAGCAGGACGTGTGTGGGAACCTGACGCTGCAGCACCACATGCTGGAGCCCGTGCAGAGGGTCCCACGCTACGAGCTGCTGCTCAAGGACTATCTGAAGAGGCTCCCGAGAGACGCCCCTGACTGGAAGGATGCAGAAAGTAAGCCCCCAGCTGCCAGGCCTCAGGGCTCCTGGGCAGTGGGAGCCGGGGCCTCTGTTGAAAACCGCAGACAGAGGAGAGAGAGAGAAACAGACACAAGCACAGAGCAGGGCAGATGGCCAAGTGTCCCCCAAGCTCATCTCAGGAAGTAACTGTGAACCTTTGAGGGCAGAGGAAAACCGCCCTGCCCCCATTGCTGTGTGATGGGCAGACGGTGGTTCTGGGGAGGGGGCTGCTACATCTGGCAGAGCTCAGGCCGCAGGAAGAGCCTTGTGGGGCCAGGGGGGCAGCTCCTGGGAAGTGGGGTGCCAGCCCCAGCAGACCCCCCCCTCCCCACCAAACACAGTATGTCTGCAGGGCTCCACCCCTGCCTGGCCCAGGCTTGGGGCAGCTCCCGACATCCACAGGGAAGGATGGGAGCAGGGCAACCCCTGGTGATGCCCGCGGGTACCCTGCAGCCTGACTCGGCGTCTTCCTCCTGCTACAGGGTCCTTGGAGCTCATCTCTACCGCTGCCAACCACTCCAATGCCGCCATTCGGAAAATGGTGAGTGTGGCGCTCCTGGAGGATGCGTCAGGGCCCCACAGCGTGCATGCCTCCTGTGCTAGACAGGCCTGCCCCTTACTGGCCCATAGCTCAGTCTCAGCCAGTACGGCTGCTATGACAGGCTCACACCACAGTGAATATCTCAAGCTCTGGGTCCCGGCCCCCTTGTCCCTGTCCCTGGCTGGTGGGTGGTGGTCTCCTCCCATATCTGCGTGGGAAAAGCAGAGCATGCTCTCTGGTGTCTCGTGTCAGGGCTTGACCCCATCGTGGAGCCCCCAGCCCCAAGACTATGACCTCCCCTATACTTCCACCTCCCGAGGGCCCCACCTCCAGACAGTCCAGAGGTGGAGGGGAAGGCATCCCCTTGTTGATGTCACACCTCTGAGGCCTGGGGTCTGATTCGGAGGCTCTCCTGGAGCCCATGCCCACACCCTATTGTGACCCAGGTGGCCTTGTCCCTTGTTTGGTCTGCACGGTGCCGGCACAGAATTTCTAAGTCCTTGCCTAGAATTCCAGATGAGGGGGTTCACAGGAGAATCCAAACTTCTGGCTTTGCTAGGAAGCCCCATAAGCCCCGCCCCAGCCTGTGCCCTCGCCGGCAGTTCTCCAGGTCACCACAGTCCCAATCTTGAGACCTGTTTCTTTTCACATGGGCACTGCTGTTTTTTGAGAGGAAAAAAAGCGAAATATTTGTTTGACCTAATGTCTCTCAAATGTGAGATACAAGAGACAGCCACTTATTTCCTCGTGGCTGTTGCTGTGTGCAGTCCGGTGCAGTGTCCTCTGCAACTGCCTGTCATGGGTTTGTTCTGGGGCCCCTGGGACAGGCCAGCCTGAGATCAGGCCCCCTGGGGGCATCCACTGCAACCCAAACAGGTCAGATCTCACTCTGGGTCCTTTCTAACTTCCCTTTCTACCTCCCGACAACTAAATCTGGCGGAGGCAGAAGAGGTGCTTCTCAGAGTCTGTGGTCGTGAGCTCACAGGGAGCCCCTATGGGTTTCCATCTCTGAGGGGTATGGACACAGCCTGAGGCCTCCCTGCCTGCTTCTTCTCACTGTCCACAGCTGTCCCTTCTGCCCCCCACCCCCACCCCACGCTCATTGACTGCCTGTGTCTGGACCAGAAACAGAAGGGCTAGCCAAACCAGCCTGCTTCTGGGACATGGCAGGCTCAGGTTCTGTGTCACTGAGCTGATGTTACTGTGGGCTCAGCTGTGCCTTCAGCTGTGTTCATTCCTGGGTCCCAACTCCTGCCCTGGGTGCTGGCAGTGACAGGTGAGGGCCCATAGTCTGTGCGCTCAGAGCAGGGGTCACAGGCTGCTGCCCCTTTGCTGTCACACCCCAGGGGCACTGGTTGGCCACTGACCACAGAGCCAGTCTTGAGGCCAGAGGGAAAGGACCTGCAGACTGGTCTGGTGTCATGAGGGCCCTGGCCACGTGGTCTGAGTGTGGAACAGGAAACCAGGCCGGGTTGTCACAGGCAGTGATGGGGGCTAAATCTCTTCTCTGACATAGAAGGGCCCACCCGGTTCTTTGCAGGAACAACCCCAGCAGCTCATGTGATTTGTCCATGCCCTAGTTTCCTGGTCTGTAAATTAGGGATAAAATGGCCTATACCTCCCGGGTGAGTGCTGGAATTACAGGAGCTGATACCGGCCTTGTGGGCTCCCTGCCCTGACCTGGTGACCTGGTTCCTGGCCCAGCTTACAGGGTGGGGTTCTTCTCACCTCTGGACCATCCCCCACCCCAGCAGGCCTGAGCCCTGTGTCTCTCACAGGAGAAAATGCACAAGCTCCTGGAGGTGTACGAGCGACTGGGTGGGGAGGAGGACATCGTCAATCCCGCCAACGAGCTGATCAAGGAGGGCCCCATCCAGAAGTTGTCAGCCAAGAGTGGCTCAGCACAGGACCGCCACCTCTTCCTGGTCAGGCCCCGCCCTTCCCTGTCCTGACTGCCACACCCCCTCACCCTGAGCACCGCCTTGCCCAGCCCAGCTGCAGAGCCCTGCCTCCCTCCTCTGTCGCCCTTCCATTGTGGAGGTGCAGGTACCTCTCACCCCGTGCCTGTCCCTGTTGCAGTTCAACAGCATGATCCTTTACTGTGTGCCCAAACTGCGGCTCATGGGCCAGAAGTTCAGTGTCCGGGAGAAGATGGACATTTCAGGCCTCCAGGTGGGTGAGGCCCTCCCTCTTCCCTCTTCCCTGCTCTCCTGGCAGGGCTCAGGACAGGGAGGGTCACTGAGCCCTGGCTGCTGGAGGGTCACCGCTGCACCTGGCCTCCCACCCACTTTTCGAGCTTCGGCTCTGTGCCAACATGTGGCCTAGGTGTTTCTGAGGCCCACTCAGCCTGGCACCGTGGGTGGTGTGAGCAGGATCCGTCCCTCCACTGGCCTGCCTTCCAGGGATTGCTGCCCTGTGCTTGCAGGACGAAGGACAGCACCAGTCTGGGCGAGCCTGTGTCCCTGCGGGCTTGGTGCTCAGAGCCCCATTTACAGACCCAAAGGCAAAGTCTGAGTGAATGTGGACGGGCTGCCCTCCCTGCCCAACCCTGGTCCCGTGGTCCTGTGTGTGCTTCTCTCCTGCTGCACTGCCTTGGAGTTCACATGAGGTTCTGCAGGCCCGGGGTCCAGACGACATGTTGTCTGCCTTCCCTATCTTCTGAGCCTCTCCACCTCTCCATGTCTCCTGGCATAGGGGCCACAGGAGCTGGGCCTCCCCTCACCTGGGAGGGCTGTGAATTTCTCCAGAAATACTGAGCGCTAAATCAGTTTTAAAATATGAAGATTTGCCTTAGTGATACAAGAAAAAATACTTCTTACTTTGAAATTCTTTGAACCCAAGTCTAAGAAACACCATCAAAAGTAAAAGCTACAGAAAAAAAATTTTTTCTCATCATTAGAAGAAATCATTTTTGTAGGTGTTTCTGTGTGAGAAATCAGTGGTGGGTGGTTAACTAGATGTGCGAAGGCAGACACTCTCACCTTTGAGGCGTCTGGGAATTCCTGCTATGAGACTCGATCCCAGCTCCTGGGTGGGCCTGCATCTCCCCCCAGCTGGGCTGACAGTGGGCTACATCCAGCCTAGTATCTTTGGGGTGGGGAATTGGGGATGAGGGGTGGCTTCCCGTCACAGAGGCTGGTGGAGCACAGACCCAGCACAGGGGGACAGAGCCTCCTGGCCCTTTGAAGATTTCCCTTCCTCTCTCAGGGGCCGTGCCTTCAGGTGCTTTGGTGGGAAAGCTTCCATGTCTGGGGGCTGGTCCCTACTTGCTGAGAAGCCCTGCAGGTGGGAGGGTTTGGCCGGCACAGCTGCCAGTGCAGAGGATGAGAGGCCCTAGCCCTCCTCCATGGACCAGCTCCCCTGGTGTCCCATCTGCCAGGTCACCTGTGCCCCTCCTGCAGGACAGCTTGAGGCTGTCGCTCAGGGCCAGCTAAGCCATCAGCGGTTTTATTTTGTCCTTTGACCCTTGTGCCTCCAGGTGCAGGATATCGTCAAGCCAAATGCAGCGCACACGTTCATCATAAAGGGAAGGAAACGGTCCCTGGAGCTGCAGACCCGGTACGGGTAGCCATCCCAGAAGCTGCTGCTGTAAATGTCTATGACCTGAGATTTTAGCAGACGGCTTCCTTTTCTAAACGGAATAACTTTGCAACTCGTTCTTTTCGTTCATTTTATTCACTTGTGACTTAAAATGTAACAGGTCTAAAGGGAAGTTGATGAGAATTGAGCCCCTGGCTTCCTCTTCCCCCACCAGCAGACATTCTTAATTACCTCTGAGCTGATCTTCCCGAACTGGGCATGAAGGTGTCCCGGGTTTTCAAATCACACACAGCTGTTTACCATACGGCCCGTTCTGCTTCTTGTTCATTTAGTTTACCAGGCACCATCCCAGATCTGAGCCCCGTTTCCAGAAGCAGCATAATTTTCCATCATGATCACCTGTGCTCAGTCCAGGTCTCACTGTGGCAGGTGCTGCAAGCAGCATCCTCGCACTAGATTTGTGCATGCTTGTCTTTATTCCATCAGAGAGGTTCCTGAAGGAGAATCATTGGTCTGAGGATAGCACATCTGCTTTAAGTTGTGGTGGCTACTGCCACACTCCCCTGGGATTGGTGCAGGCTTATGCTCTGTTTTGGGGGCGTGTGCGGGAGATCCCATCTCATTTCTGCCAGCAATGTGAGGTCTTTGTAATGACCTGTTCTGGTCCAGGGATGTGTTGGTATATATCCAGTGCAGAGGAGTCTGCAGACCACACCTGACTACACCTGACCCTATGTAGGTGCATCTGACTCTGCCTGGATATACCTGAACATACCTGACAATATGTGGCCATACTTGACTCTGAATCTGACCCCACTTGCCCCACCTGGCTGCACCTGATCCTACCAAATCTCGTGTGACTGCACCTGAGTCCACCTGGCCACACTTAACCTCACCTGGACACACTTGACTACACCTGATCCCACCTGGCTACACTTGACCCCACCTGGACACACTTGATTACACCTGGTCTCCTGATTGCACCTGAGTCCACCTGGGCACACCTTGTCTACCTGGTTGCATCTAGCCCCTCTTGCCCACAGTGTACAGGGCACTCAAGGACGGTCTTCCAAGGCCCTGAGCTGCATTGTGAGGCTGTGAGCAGCTCAGGGGTGTGCCACAAGACTGAGAGGAATGGGGGTTAGCAGCATCTAAGACAGGGTTAATAAGATGCTGTGTTTGTATTTATAGGACAGAAGAGGAGAAAAAAGAATGGATTCAGGTGAAGCTCCTAAAATTTTAAAGTAATCAGATGACCAAATTCTTGTGCAGTGTGGCCATTTCACGTTGGAGCGAGTGATGGAGCGGCCCCCTGACTCCCCACGTTGCCCACCTGTCCATCCTCCTCGAAATGACAAAGTGCTCTCTTTAAGTACCTTCAGACACCACCAGCCTTTCAGCCCTTTCACTTGTTTAGCACCACAGTAGATAAGCAAAAATGAAGGGCTAGAGGCGGGCAAGCAGGGAGGGGCCCTCACCCTGGGGCTGAGTCTGTGCTGCTGGGGGGCCCGAGGGGTCCCCACAGCCAGCCTGCAGGAACAGTGGGTTAGTGGGACGAGCAGCTGGACTTGGGGGGGGTGCTGTGCTTCCAGAGGCAACTGATAGTGTCCTGGGGCAGCGAGAGCACACTTGCCTTGGGACCAGCCACAGTGGGTACTCTGGACGGAGACCAAAGCCCCTGAAGGCAAAGGTCAAAGCAGAGGCTGAGCAGGGAGCCCGGTGGAGTGCTAACTGGGAAGGCCTTGTGGCTTCCAGAGTTCATAGAAATTTAGGTGGGAAGAGAAAAAGGAAATTCAAACGGAAATGAGGGGGACATACTGACATAGGACATGGAAATATATCCAAAAATCCACACAGAATGTCCGGGAAGTGTCCGCAGCAGCCTGGAATGCTGGGAGGGCACCCGACCACATGCAGGGCAGGCCTGGGACCTGTGCATGGGGAGTGGGGTCTGGGTCGGCCACAGATGACCTGTCTGTGGGGACGGGTATGCTGGTCTTGCCCTCCTTGATGTGCTCACTGAGGGCCCTCGTTCTCTGGGGGTCTGTCTCAGGTCATCGAGGACACCATAGAGAGGCACAAGCAGAACAGCCAGACCTTCAAGGCCTTCAGTAGCTCCTTTGGCCAGGATGAGGACCCATCCCTCCCTCCAAATCCTTCTGTGAGCACCAGTGCCCCAGGGCTGGGGGAGGGTTGGGATGAGGCCCCTTGTGGAAGAGCGGCATCTCGGAGGGACGCTGGTCCCTGCACTCTCCCTGACCATGCTCACCGCCTGTCCTTCACTGAGTGCCCATGGGTGCAGCCAGGCCTCATGAGGTGGGGCTGTGATCTTATCAGTGGGGGCAGCTCGCTTGTCCCCATATGGAGCACCCTGGGGCCAAGGGGGACCAGGAGGCAGGGTACCCACCCAGGGCCAGGTAGGGGACGACAGCTGCAGCTGCTCATTGGGGGCACTCTGGGTCACAGCCACCTCCTGAGGGCACAGCCACCTTCAGAGGAAAGGTCCCTCACTCCCATCTCCTGCCAGAGGCAGTCATGAAACCAAGGATGCCCAACTGTTCCAAGTCCCCAGCACCAGGCCTAGCTGGCCCTCCCCACGGCCTTTCCAGGCTGCATGTCAGGCCACTTAATATTCACGTCAAATCTCTCTCTTTTTTTTTTTTTTTTTTTTTTGCTTTCTGGGAATATTTTTGAAGAAAAGTTTGCATTCCTCCCCAGCTGCCTTGAATAGAGGCATCGTGGATTCAGCAATATCCCTGTGGTTAAAGTGATACAGGAGGAGCCAAGCTGCCCTCTGGCCTAGCAGGCCTGAGGATGAAGAGGGGGGGCTGTTATAGCCGGGTGGGCTGGGCAGGCCTCCGGGAGTGTCCCACACTGGGCCCTTGTGGTCAAACGGGAGGGCCGGGGTGCTCTCTGTGGTTCATGCTGCACTGGGTCTCAGTCTGTGGCTGGGGAACCCCTGCTCATGCTGGCTGTCTCTGTTCCTTCCAGGTGGTGAGTGCCAGCCCTGAGGAGCCTGCCCTGGCAGCCAGTGGTGGAGGGGGTGTTGCAGGGGTGAGTGACACTCCGGCTTCAGCAGGGGCAGGAGGTAGAGGATGAGGTTGGCCCGGGGTGCCCTCTGGGGCAATGTTGGATGGGGGTGCCCTCTGGGGTGAGGGTCAGGGTGCCCTCTGGGGTGTAATTGGATGGGGATGCCCTCCGGCACGAGGGTTGGGTAGCCCTCCGGACTGAGGTCCAGGGGTAAGCCACCCGCATGTGTCCTGAGTCCCCCTGGGACAGGCTCTGGCCCTGCTGGGAGAGGCTCAGAGAGGGGCCCATGTGTCGTTGCATCAGTTGGGTGGTGGTCACACAGGCGTGCTTTTTACCGCGTGTGAAAAGTATGTGGAGGAAATGTGACTCAGTGGTGCCTCCTCCTTAGGCAGCTTGGCTGTCCCCAGGGAAAGGCCAGCCCCTGGCTGTGGGGTTTGGCAGGACGCTGGGCGAGGGGTTGGCACTCCCAGGGAAGACTTCTCAGGGGGGATGTCCCACCCGCACCTCCAGCCCAGGAAGGCAGGGGTACCCAGGACCCCACTCCACATCTGCTCACCTGTCCACCTGGGGCAGCACAAGTGGGGAAGGGGCTGGGCAGCCTGTGCCATGTCCTCCCTGGTGGACATGCTGACCGCCCCCTGCCAGTGGTTTGGGGGATTAGGTAGAAGGGTGAGGGTGTGTGCCTGGCCCATTGTGAGCATCCAGGGCAGGGGAGCATGGTTACTGACCCCTGGTCTACTGGTCATGGACCCCAGTGACAGTCGTGCCCCAAGACACCAGGGGGGTGTGGCACCTTCAGGCTGCTGAAGGGCACTCTTGGGTAGGCAGGCGGAGCAGGGCTGGGTCCCACCCTGAGGCTGTCCGCCCAAGCCCCAGCCTGACCCCTGGGTCTGAGGCCCCCTAGTCTCCCACCTGCCAGCCTCTCCCTCCTCCTCCCATGCTCTGCCCTCCAGGCCTCCAGCCTCCACGGGTGCTGCCCCTTGGGCAGCCCAGAGCTGCTGGAGAGTCCCCTGAATCTAGTGGAGGCCCAGAGCTCGTCCAGTCTGGTCGAGCCAGGGGAAGGGGATGCTGGATGCAGCATCCTGGGGGCGGCAGTGGTCTCTGTGGCCACAAGGAGTGAGGTTCCTGTCAGGAGCTGAATGTTGGTAAGAACCTGTCTCCCATCTTGGCTCACGCTGGGAGGCTGGGCCAGGGACAGCCCCCATTCCTTATGAGAGCAGAACTCGGGCCCCCACCATGTCCCTCCGGCTCCTGGGGGCTTGAGAAGTGTGGGCCTCACAGAAGGATGGAGCGTTGGGGGACAAGATGGGGGTAGGGGCCAATGACAAGAGAAAGCCCCTTATTCAAGTGGGGCCCTGTTGCCATGGGTACTGGAGAGCAGAATGAGGTCACAAGTAAGTAGCATCACTGAGTCAGGCAGCATGAAAGTGGCATGGGCAGTGGGGGATGGTGGCCTTATCACAGCCCATGAGCCCCCTGATGAGGGACTTCCTCACCCTCTTGCCCTCCCTGCTCTTACTCCACCCTGCCCCAGGGCCTTTGCACCTGCCCAGGACCCTCAGCAGATGAACAGAGTACCTGTCCCCATGCTTTCCTCACTGGTGTGTCCTGTGAGCAGAGGTGTTGGTGGGTGTGGGGCAGCTCAGCGGGGGGTGAGGGTTGGGCCCTATAGGGCCTGACCTGGACCTGTTCAGGGTACGTTTATGGACGGGGCTCAAAAATGAGGTTTCATTCTGATGCCAAAAGTGTGATCCTTGCCACAGATTTAGGCCTTTTCCCAACACACTTAGAGAGGAAGGTGAAGCCCGTGTGGCGGCTGGCCCCATTCCCCAGCGCTGGTGTCCTCAGACGCGTGGTTCGGCAAGCGCCTTCCTAGGAGGAGCTCAGCCCAGAGCCCAGAAGTTTTGCAAGGTAGCTACAGCCCTGTGTCCTGCAGAAGTCACATTGTGCTTCACAGATCAGTGCCCCAGGGCTCAGACCCAGGGTGACGTTTGCACACCTCCACAGCCGAGCCAGGCCCCGCCCCCACCACCCGGCTGGGACCTGGGGATTCACAAAGCTAGTGCTGCCCTTCCACCCCGAGCCCAGCTCCGGAGCTTTGGACAGAGCTGTCCACCAGGAGCCAGGGGGCCAGGTGGGGCCTGTGTCCAGCCTGCAAGACCAGGGACCACCAGGAGGGCATCAGAGGCCCATTGTCCAGCCTCTTGTGGGGCCCAGTTCTTACCTGAGTGTGCCTCCTACTTCTGGGTTGTGGGTCCGAAAACGCTCGAGTGAACCAGACCCTCTGCCCTGGGCACCTCCTGTGCCCATGTTGGCATGTTGGGTACTTTGGGTGGACACTAGCAGATGCCACGATCTGTACCCATGGAAGACACAGCCTAGGCCTTTCAATGCCCCAGCATCCACAAGAACAATAACCCGGCCAGAGTGCTGGGAAGACCCGCCCTGGGCTGTGCAGGTGGGCGCCTATCCCCTGTGTCGGGAGCCCATGTGGCAGGGGTGGCACAGTGGGTGGGCTGGGCTACAGCCCCTCATTTGTGGATGCTTCCCCCACCCACACTCGGAGCCGCCTTGCAGCAGACTGCCTTCTGTCTGCCAGCCTCGGGGCTCTGGCCTCCCCCCAGCCCCAGCACCCTCACTGCCTCCATCCCTCGGGCCAGCCCTCCCCTCTGGCCCCTTTGCCCTCAGGATGCCCTGGAAGCCCCCATAGCCATGCCCTTGGGTCCAGCTGACCTCTGACCACACCTGCCTCCCGGGCCCTTGGCGTCCTCACCTGGCAAACAGGGACACTGGAGCCACCCTGAGGGACGGTGGAGGATCCTTGTCTCCCCTGCCCTGTGCCCTGGCCCCCAGGTAGCACCCCTCCTGTGTCTGGCCCTGAGCGGTCCCCAGATGGTCTCAGGAAAGGAGCTGCAAGTGGGGTAGGGAGATGTGGGAATATGAGGGGAAATGGGTGGTCAGTCAGGGTCCCGGCGCTGTGATGGGCTTCAGGATCGGTTGCCAACTCTGCTGTACAGATGGAGACACTGAGGCTCAGAGAGGAGGGGACTTGTCCACGGTCTTGTGGCTACTGGAGGTCAGGGCAGGGACTGGGGCCCATCCCCCACCTTGTACAGGTCCTACCCAGATGGAGAAACTGAGGCTCAGCCAGGCGACCCCGCAGAGCCCCCACCAAAGCCTCATGCTGTACCTGCTGCTGTGAGAGCCCTGCGTCCCGTCCCACATGGCTGCCCGCAGTGCAGGGGGAGCCCCGTGCCTGGGCGGCAAGGGGGCAGGGGCTGGTTGGATGTGGGCTGCTTTGCTTTCTGCTTGTTTACTGTGTTTCTTCCTCTTCTACGGGATGTTCCCAGAAAACAACTGAGAGGGCACAGTCAGCAAGGCTGGGAAGGTCTGGGCCCCATGTGGCCCTGAGAGTGTCTGGGTGTGCCCCCCTGCCCCGGAGGCCTCCACACTTGCTCACTCGGTAGTACCCCTTCTGGTAGGCACCGGGTTCTCTAGGTGTGCCCCTCTGGGGGGGGTCTTCTCCTGAGCCGTGCCATGCCGGCAACTGTGATCTGCGTCCCTCTGTGGCCTGGACCCCCTCATGGGCAGGGCACTGCTTCCTTACTTTTGGACAACATCAGGGTTAAAAAAATACATGTTTGACAATGAAGAAGATACAGGGTTGTTTGTAGAGATGGAGGAGGTGGAACGAAGTGAGACCCCCTCTTCCCTCCCCACCCTCTGTGGGGTTGGATGTCCCTGCAGACGTGGCACAACTTGTTGAAATGCATGTTATGGTGTTTTCATGACTTGTCTAAGGCTTTTTTAAGCTCTCTGAACACAAACCACATTGAGTTTCCTGACTTCCTGTTGTTGCCCCTGTCAGCTGCTGGGTGGGAGGATCAGACAGCTTGGTGGAGATGGGGGGGGGGTGCATCCCCAGAGCCTCAGGCCACGCTGGGCACATGAGCCCCCTCCCCAGTATGGATGCTGGGCACCATCCTTTCAGACCCACCAGGTTGCCACTGGCCTCTGTGTAGGCCGAGTTCCAGGCCCCTGAGACCCTCCTGATGCGCGACGGTTACCCCAGGGCAGCCTGGGGGCAGGGCTGGGCAGGGGCTAAGGCCATGATTCCTTGGCTTCATTCCCTTCTGCATTTTGCCCCGCACATGCACTGCCCACATTCACTGGGCTTCCCTGCACACTTGCCTCCTGTAGCTCGAGTCCAGGAGAGGGTCTGCTAAGACCGGGCGCGACAAGGAGAAGCTGGGCTGCAGGAGCTGCGGCGAGGCCTTCAACTCCATCACCAAGAGGAAGCACCGGTGCAAGCTGTGTGGGGTGGTGAGTCCAGGCCGGCAGTTCTCCCACGACCAGGGACAGCACCCTGCAGCAGACAGGGAGACCCACCTGTGGCCTGTTCAGCTCTGGTGTCGGACCGACAGTCTTGTGGGTGAAAAAGTGCCAGATTTGGAAGCACAGCTTGTAGCTAGGTGGCCTCCCACTGCCACCCACCCCCGCAGTGATCATCTCCCCTGTTCTCCTCACAGAGGCCAGAGCCCTTTTTCCTGAGGATGGGCTTCTGAACTTGGTGTTGAAAGGGAGGGTTTTTCCTGGTAAAAGGATTGTTGATTCAAGTACTTCCAGGCTAAGTTATTAAAATGGCACACGTGTTAGCAAGTGGGTCTTAGCACAGAGCTGTGTTAGAACTGGTTTTCCACGGGGCCCCGCAGACTGTGCTGGGCATGGTATTTATTGTCATGCCTTCGTGTGAAACCTTGAAACCCTGGGGAAAGGAGAGAGAAATGTATGAATCCTCACATGAAGGACAGATGAGTGATGGATGTGTGAATTGTGGGGGGATGGATGGATGGATGGGTGGATGGGTGAAAGGATGGAAAGGTGGATGGATGGATAGGTGGGTGGATGGATGGATGGATGGATGGATGCATGTGTCATCATCTGTCTATCCACTCACTAATCCAACCATCCAGAGAAATAGAAACAAATCCAGTAGAAATCATGGAAATTGCTTAATATAGGGTAACTCTATGTTCAGTTTTTTGGAGGTGGATCTCTGTTTTCCTCAGAAGCTCTGCCATCTTGCATTCCCACAAACAACGCACAAGGGGTAGGTTTCTCCACGCCCTCAGCAGCATCCTCACAAACACTGTTTTGGGTCCTAGCCATCCTGACAGGCATGACATATCTGGTTCCTCCTCGTCCCTTTGATTTGCGTTTCCCTGGTGGTTAGTGATCCTTCCATGTACCTGGTGCCCCTTCCCAGTCTCCTACAATGCACACAGATGCTGGGACCCTCCAGGAAAGGAAACAAGTCCCGGATGGCCAGCAAGGGCCAGCACTGGGATCCCTGCCCTCTGATGAGGCTCCCCTGCACGTGCTCTGTCCCCAGGGGCCGGGGTCACAGGTGCCCTCTGCCTTACAGGTCATCTGTGGGAAGTGCTCTGAGTTCAAGGCTGAGAATGGCAGGCAGAGCCGGGTCTGCCGAGGGTGTTTCCTGACGCAGCGGGCGGTACCTGAGAGCCCCAGCCCCGAGGTGGCACCTGAGGAGCCCAAGCACAGCACAGAGGTAGGCAGGCCAGGTCCTGTGACTGTCCTGGATGGGAGCCCTGCCCCTGGCAGCCTCTGTGGACTGTGCCCCCAGGGCTTTTGGTGTCCCCTGTGCCAGGAGAGATAGTGTGTGTACGTGTGTGCATATGTGCAGTGTATGTGTTCATGTGCAGGTGGTGTACATGTTTGTGATACACGCGTATGGTGTGTGTGTGTGGCGCGCGTGTGCAGCCCTTCCCTGTGAGCCATGCCCTGCCTCCTGTGATTCCATCTTGCCCCTGTTTTATCTCTGTTTCTGGTGTGGTGCTGCCCGTGCTCTCAGTCCTTTGGGGTCCAGACTGTACCAGGAGGCCTCGTGGTGACCCCGGGGTGGGTCAGGCTGGCCTGGGCCCTGGTGCAGCCTGTTTCTTAGGAGGCCAGGCCTGGCCCCCGCCCCCATGAGAATGACACCTACTGCGAGGCTGTACATGACCCCATCCTTTGTGACTCCAGGGGCCAGCGGCTGTTGACCCCCAGCCCAGCCTGCTCTGCGGCCACCTGCAGGTGTCGGACAGTGGTGCAGCCTGGAGCGAGGTGTGGGCCACCATCCCAGCCTCAGACCCCCTGGAGCTGGTGCTGCACCTGCAGGAAGACAGCCAGGTATGTCCCCACCTGCCCTCCAGTGGTGCTGGGCGGATGCCCTGATTCTTGCAGCCCAGTGCCCCAGGCCCACAGTGCCCAGAGGGGCCTGGGACCAATGCTGTTCAGGCTCCTGTGATCCTCGGGCCTCAGTTTCCCTGGTTGCTCAAGGTCACCCCTCTGCTCCCCCCCCCCATGGGGAAGAGTTCTGTGGTGCCAGGAGTGCTGAGGCCAGGGTGCTCACCCAGCTCTCCTTTGCTTCAGGATGGCTGGCCACCACGCACCATCCCCCTCTCTGGCTGCACAGTGAGTGTGTTGGACCCCACGGAGAGGCCAGACTCCAGGCATGTGTGGCGGCTGCAGCGGGGCCAGCAGTCCTTGTACCTGAGCACCCCGTCAGCGGACCTGCAGCAGCGGTGGCTGGAGGCCCTGAGTGCAGCTGCCCGCGGGGACCCGGGCCTGGTGGCCCTGTGAGCTGAGCCTCCGGCAGGTGTCCCAGCTCTGAAGCCACCCCAGCAGGGCCTGTGCTCACCTGGGAGGTGGTGTCTGAGACTACGTACAGGCTTTGTACAGGTGTGGGGGGCTCCCGGCCCCCTGGGGGCAGACAGGCCACAAGGCACTTGACCCTGGAGGGACCTCTGAAGAGGAGGAAATGGGCCCAGCCACCCAGCATGTGTCCGCGAGGAGCCCAGCTCTGCCCCGAGCCCCAGCAGTGTGGCCTGGCCAGGGTATGGCCTGTCAGGTGTGGGGCACCCAGCTCCAGAGGCAGAAGGAGCATCCTGGGGGTGCCTGGGGACCCCCTTTGAGGTGGAGGTCTGCGGTCATGCCTGCCCCCCCATACCATCTGTACTGTGCAAGCTGGACTGACTGACCCCGGACTCCACCTCCCTCCTGTCCACTCCTGGCCCTGAAACCCACCTCCCCATTTGGGGGGGTCATTGGTCACGTGGGGCATCCCTGTGGGGTGTACCTGAGAAGCCCAGCGGAGGCCCTTGGGCCTGCCCCTGCCTCATGTGGGGCCCGACATCTGTGTCTGTCTCCCCCCGCTGGCAGCAGGCAGTGCTTGTCTGTGGAAATAAATGCTGGCAGCCAGCAGCGGGAACAGCCTCGGGGTTGGGGTTAGGGCGGTCTGGGGGAGCCGGGCGAAGGCACAGTGAGGCCTGCGGGGAGCAGGTCCCCGCCCAAGGGTGGGCGGGCAGTGAAGCACCCAGACCCCCCGCCCCCTAGTTCAGTTGCTTCTCCGAAGACCTCTGCTCCTTCTGCATTCACTGAGCACCCACTGCCTCCGCAGGCCTAGGGGACTCCTCAGGGCACCCTGTCCGGGATGTTCCTACTTGATAGCTAAGGAAACTGAGTCACAGGAGGTCCCTCGGGTCCCATAACTCCAGACTGAGGGAACAGCTGGGACTGACTGGCTGGTGTGTGGTGGTGCTCTGGTGGAGCAGGGAGTGAAACTAGGCCCTCCAGCAGGTGCCCACTTGGTCTTCCCAGCTGGCCCCCAGGAGTTCTCTGGGCCCTGCAGCCTGGCGTCCCTGCACACAGGTTTCCATGGTGACCTGCTGCCCCCAGCAGAGTCCCCTGCCATCCTTGGGAGAGTGTCGGGCAGCCGCGGGTCCACAGGCTGTGTGGCTGCAGCAGGGCTGGAGGCACAACCCCCTACCCTTGTGGACCTGGACTGAGGCTGCGGGGAAGAAGTCCCTCCTGTGGGGAGGGGGAGCAAGGCCTGGGGGAGGGGGAAGCAGTTGGATGGGGTCCCAGGGCCACTGCCTTCCTGAGGACACCCAGGGCAGGTATCACAGGAAGAGTGTCTAGGCCTGGGGCAGGGTCTCCCTCGGCAGTGGTCTAAGAGGTGGGGGCCACAGAGTGGGCTGGCTGCAGGGGGGCCTGTGGGTGCATGTGGGGATAGGGCCCTGGGGCCCCAGAGGGCCTCCAGGAAGAGCCCCATGATGGTCAGTTTGGGGCTGCAGCCTCTAGCTGTTCAGGAGAGGAAATTCAAGTGTTCCTGGGAGGTCACTGCCGTGGAGTGCGATGTCTAGGGGCCAGCAGGCACTCCTCTGCCCACCCATGGAGGGCAGAGGCTCTCAGCCTCCCCCCTATGAGTAGTTACTGCCCTGGGAGCAGGAAGAGGTCCCTGCCATCCTGAACCTACCGTATGGGGGGCAGGGGGTGGTCTACAGAGCTCACCTACCCAGCCTGATGCCAGGCCCAGGGGCCAAGTGTGGAGTGAGGGGTCTACCGAGTGGTGTCCCCGGCCTAGGGGCCTCTCCACGGAGGTTCTGCATGTTGCTTGGGGCCTGTGCTACGCCGCAGCACCTCAACACGTGTCCTCACTAGGCCCTAGCGGGTACTGGAAGGTGAAAGGAGCCAGCCACTTGCTGAGAAGGAGGACGCTAAGAGACATCCTGGCTGTAGTGAAATGAGTCCAGAGAGGGACATACACTTGGCCCAGGTCACACAGTGGGGTCATTCAGTCATTCGGTCCACCTATTGGTTCAGCGGGCACTGCTGGCATGCCTCTGGGGTGCCGCCGCTTGGATTGCTGGGGCCAAGGGTTGGACTCTGGTCCTTGCACACATCCAGCCTCATTTTGCCCCCACAGCCTGCATGGGAGTCTCTATTGTTGAGCCTCCCCCAGGGCAGGACGCAGCACCCACCACAGCACCTGGCTCAGCAGGAGCTCGGTATCTGCCAGCAGCCTTGGCGACATTGAGGATGCTGTTGGCATGCAACCCCTGAGCACTGTGGGTTGGGAGTCTTCATTTTACAGAAGGGGAAATGGAGGCTCAGAGAGACGGGGGGCTGCCTAGCAGTTAGGGCCCAGCCCCTCCGGTCTCTGGGTCTCAGGAACGGAGCCCGTTCCTCCTGGGACGGAGACCTAGGGACTGCCATGCCCAGAACATGGCAATGGGCACACGGGGGTGGCAGGGTGAGGCCCCAGGGCTCAGGACTGGGGGAGCTCCAGCTGCAGCTGCACAGCATCTCCGGGAGTCTGCAGGTGAGCTCCCTGTGGCAGATCCATCCCAGGGCCCAGCTGGCAACTGGGGGTGGCCATATCGGGGACCCCCAAGCCCTGACCCTCTGGATGCCCCCACCCTCACAGGGCTTCTAGTGGGCAGGGCAGCCAGTGCTCCCCTCAGGTATCAGACATGGAGGAAAGTACCATGGAGCCTTCCAGACCCGCACCCAGACCCCCAGGCCTCCCCCCATGGGACCCCAGCCTTGCCTCCAGGATCCCACTGGGTGTGTAGCGAAGGTCTGTGTCCAGGTGCAGGAGCATATGGGCAGCGCCTGGTTCTGGGGTGACATTCGGTGCTGGCCTGTCCTCCTCTCCCATCAGCATGTCCATCTTTCCCCAGATGATGCCGCCATGATCCCAAGGGACCCCACATGGTCCCCCAGAGTACTTAAGGGACTCCAGGGTATCCCCAAGGGGCTGTGAGTCATCCCAGGGGCTCCAGGGCATCCCCGAAGGGCTCCAGGTTGTCCCAGGGGCTCCAGGTCACCCCAGGGCTGTGCATGTCCCCGAAGCAGCCAGCATGATCAGAGCCTGGGCTGCCCCCCTGGTCTGACAGCCTCAGGTCCACCTCTGCTCCCAATTTACGAGGGAAGATGAGGGCCCAGTGTGCAGAGCCAGGTGCCTTCCCCACATTCTGCACACTCTGTCCTGGAAAACTAGCCTCCACCCCACTGGCTTTGGGGCTTCCTGGGCTCGGTGCTGCTTGTGGGTGCAGGGCCTGCTGGGGGGGACTGCTGGGAGCACCCCACACCAGCCCTCCCCCCTCCGCGGGGCTCCTGCTCCTGCTCCCCGCTGCCTTTGTACCGATGGCCGCTGTCTGTGGTCCCACCTTGGCCCTGTCTTCCTCCTGAGTGCGGCTGGCAGTGTACCCAAAAGGAACAAGTGGTCCCCTTTGCTGCCATGACACGTGGCCCCACCCTGCAGAGGGCTCTCCTCCCTGTGCCTTATCCACACCAGAGAAGCAGGTTACACCTGGAAACACCACATCTGTCCTCAAAGGGGCACCAGGAAACTAATACTTGGGTGTCCCATCCACCTCAGGAAGGATACTGGGGTCCTTGCCAAGGGCCCCCCTCCAGGGCAGCCGGAGCCTGTGTCTTCCCGAAGCCGAGGAGGGAAGGGCTGTCATCCTCGCCCACCCACGGAGGGGTACACGACAGCTAGCATGGAGGGCTTGTCTCCCGGGGGCCCCAGAGCAGGTCTCCAGGAGCTGGGTGGGTCCCCGGGGATCGGGGGGGGGGCCATGTCAGGTAAGGTCCTCTCAGGAGCAGCTCCTGTTATGTAGGCTGGATGCAAGCAGTTCCTTTGGAGGCCACAGTGGGTGGAGAACAAGATAGAGGAAAACAAGCCCATGCAGACATCTCAAACTCATGTCCACCTGGAACCTGAAAACATGACATTATTTGCAACAAGGCCTTTGCACATGTCACTGGTTCAGACAAGGACAGAGGAGCCCTAACTCCAGTGACGCATTGCATCAGGAGAGGAGAGGATGTGCCGGGGAGGCCCTGGGACCACTGTCCCCATGTCTGCAGAGGGCAGGCACCCTCCCCACACTGGACCTCAGGGCCCTGGCCTCCAGAACGGTTTAATGACCGTAATGTGTGCTATTGTGGACGTTGTGGCAATTTGCACAGCAGCTCACCCCACACTGGGCGGGTGGCAGTGGAGTCAGGTTGGGAGAGCTCGGGGCGTGAGGGGAAGTTGGCCTCCATGTCCCGGAAGAGCTGCAAGAGGGACAACGAGGGCTCCTGCTGGAAGAGCGCCAGGGCGGGGTGACACTGAGCCACCCAGGTGCCCATGGGTCCTGGGCCAGGGTTGTGGGACCTGTGGTCTGATGGCAACAACCATCAAGGTGCCGGGGCCACGAGAGCAGGGTGGCCAACCCTGGAGGTCAGAACATGGGCCACAAACGGTGACTCACCCACCCTCAAGTCCCCATGGCCCTGCAGGCGGCAGCCACCTTTGGCCCTGCAAGTCCCTCGCTCTGTCCTCTCTGCCTGTCACTCAGGGTTGGGTGAGGACTCTGGGAGCTGTGGGGACCGGAGGGCGTACCCTGAACGTGAGACTCAAGTGGGTTGGAAGGGGTGGGGCCGAACAGTGTCCCCCCAAACCCATGTCCACCTGAAACCTCAGAATGCGACATAATTTGGAAACGAGATCTTTGCCAAAGTCGTTAGTTTGGGTGAGGTCACAGTGCGCCTGGGTGGTCCCCAAACGGGAGGCGGCATCCCTGCAAGAAGAGGCAGCTGCCGCCAGGGCTCGCAGGGAGGAGCCACGAGGACCCTCCCACGGCTCCAAGGCCCCTGCGCTATGGCTCTTCGCTGCTATGGCTCTTTGCTGCGGGGCCTCGAGACCTGACGCACTGTGTGGCTGGAGGCACCTGGAGTGAACTTCCTCTGGTCCCGGGGGACATGCGGGGGGGGGGCGGGGGGCGGGGGAGCTTGCGGGGCTGGGGGCTGGGCTGGCTGGAGGGGACTCTGGGTGGGGGCGGCGAAGCAGGGACGAGGCGCAGTGGTGGGGACTAAGCACGGTCACTCATTCCCAGGACAGAGAACATCCTCTCCACTGGCCCAGGGACCCCGCATGCAGGGTTGGGGAGCCCCCCATCCTTTCTTGGGTGACCCCATATGATGCTGGCACCATGCGGCCAACCCCGTGGTGGGCCAGCTCCCACCACAGAGGGGCCACTGCCTGGGAGCCATCCTGCCCAAGGGGCCCCTGGGGGTGTGGGAGGGGTTGGCGGAGGCAGAGGGAGCAGGGACTGCGAGAGCCATCCCTGTGGCTTCCCCCGGCAGGGACCGAGCACAGTGAGCAGGCCCTCGGTTCTGGGGCCTGGGGTGCCTAGGGCAGGATGGGCGCCCTAGGGCATGGGCTGGTCTGCAGGTGAAGGCAGCCCCGGGGTGTCCGTCTCAGGCAGTGGCACTCCCAGCAGCGGGGGTGGGGTGGGGTGGGGTGATCCCTCCGGGTTCACGTGGCCCCATCGAAACCATTTTGCCTCAGAGCACAAACCTCAGGGGCCTCAGGGGAAGTCTTGGGCCGAGGGGCTTGGCTGAGGGAGCATGGGGGGAAGATG